TTATCCACAATATACATTTTATTAAATATAGAGATATCAGCAAAAAAAATAACAGCACGAACCTGATAGTGTTAAATAACTTATTTGTCCTTAAAAGATAAATATTTTTCAATGTTTGCTTCGTACGATTTTTCATTAGCTAATTTCTCCACCAGTTAGTTCCATCTCGTATCTACTCCTCACTCTCACTCTCACTCTCAATCATCTCACTCCCCATCACTCAGTGCCACTAAGATTCCAACTCCGCATCTCACGTCCATCCCACTGCCGCACTCCACTCCCATCCCCATGCCCACTCCGCTACCACTCCACTCACTCCACTCACCAGGTCACTCTCACTCTCACTCTCACTCTCACTCTCACATCTCACCACCTCCATCCATCCCTCCCACTACCCACTCCATGCAACTGCCTCCCACTTCCACTCACCTCCTCCACTCCTGCACTCCCACTCCTCCGCAGGACGTCCACTCACTCACACACACTCACAGTCTCACTCTCGACTCACTCTCACTCACTCTCATTCTCATCTTCACCTCTCATCTCCTCTCAGTCGTGCTCACTCTCACTCTCACTCTCAATCTCACTCACTCTACTCCATATACCCATACTTTGATTCTCATTTGTTCTGGCCTGCTTTCTAAACTATCTTAATGCGGTTGAACAAGAGACTTTCAATGCCCTCTTGCATTGTGGAACATCCCTACTAAGGCTCCGAAGGCTTTACTCGCTAATAACATACGAGATCTTTTCGGTAGCGGGTTGGCACAAATCACCTACATAGTGGTTTGTTGGCGAAGCGGTAACTGAAACTGATAGCTGAAGCTGTAGTCGTTAGGTGCACCGACGAATATCGATGCACTACGCACCGAGCGCGCGACATAGTGGGGGCTGTGACAGTCCGCGGTGCCTCCTTATGCTACGTAACATAACCTTTCTCTAAAATTATCAGTGAAAGCACAGATTGAAACTGAACAAGAAATTGCGCGTCCGCCGGCTATTTTTAGCTAGGCAGAACGCCCCCACTCTGTTTTCGCCCAGTGAGACTCGCAGAGTATAAATGTCATCAGTAAGTATCAGGAGGCGCGTCTCGGATCGAGCGAACTTTTGCATTTCAGTTCGTACTTATTCAAACTGGAGGAGACTTGATTATGACCTTTGGCCGAGCTTTTTTTTTCAAACAGTGCCTTAGTATTCGGAATTTGTGAAAGGGAGACATATAATTAATTTTCCAGGATGCGATTAATTTCAGGACGTTTTCCTACGTTCACTATAGCCGAGTTTCAGCTCTCACTATTACCGAATATTTAATGCCATGGTTTGGTAATGTACGTGAAACGGGACCATTGACTTAAGTTCACTGTATCCGAGTCGACGTATTTGATTTGAACGCCAAATATTATAATGGCATGTAGGGCTGATACTGTAATTCACTTTTCTACGATGTAATAATAAATTTTGAGTGGTGCTAAACACAAAATTGTAATGTTTAATCGTTTTTGTTTGATGACAGTAATAAACTATTTTCATTAACTATGAGTGAATAAAATGGATCTATGAAAGCTAAAACATCTTAAAAAATCATTACCTTCTGCTCTCATTTCTGACAATCAACGAACACTATTCATTCATAATCGGTTACGAAATTGTATAAAAATATTAAGCCATTTGCAGTCTGTTTAACAAGACCCATAATAATCTCATTATTATTTCTAAAATATGATCAGAGAGTTTTGCTCGTAGGTATTTAGATTCATAATGGGAAGGAAATGGTAACAAATATATGTGCTGCCAAACATTCGATACATAGGAGTGAAAGAAGAACACAAATAGGGAATTATGGCTCTCGTAGCTAGAAATACGGAACATTACCAATTTAAATAAAGTGGGCAAATCATTTCACAACATGGATCATTGCATTAGATACCCAGATATTCAATCTACGCGCCGCCTCGTCCCCACTGTGTACCAAGATCCTCCCCGTAAAACTGCCTACCCCGCACTATATGCTTTCGCAGCTCTGGCAGGCAATTGTTCGGCTCTTGAGTGCAGAATGCCCGCGGGAGCAGGCGTCGTGCAGGCCTGGTTTGCTGCATCAAATTACTAAAAGTTGAGTATGTGTCATTCATTTTTCGGTGGAAAAGCTGAAGCCTGGTGAATGCAGACGCCGCATGGCAGAGACTTGGATGTGCCTCTGCTAATTTCCTAAGGAAATTTAAACAAGTGTTTTTATTATACATTTTCACGCAATTTACTAAGTTTGAAAATGAACGATCTTGGCAATTAAAATATGTTTAAAATATATTTTTGTTATGAACTTGCAAAGCACAAATAAAACTTTTAATGAAGTGGACATGAAAATACCAACTGGAGCCATGCTGAGTTGGTATGTTGTGGATTACATCCCTTAAACAAGTGTGGGTACAAGCAGTGTTATGGGCGTCCTTAACACTGAAACATTGATTTATGGCAAAACGATTGTCCATCCATCTTAAACATCGATAGTGGCGAAACTCTGAGCAGGATTTTTACCATAATTGATATTCGCCAATCGATCTGGCTGATGTCGCATCCCCTTGAATTTCAAATGGATACTTGGATTTTGAGGGTACTTTACATGAAGCCTCAAAGACATTTTCAACATTTTCTAAAAAAATTGCTGCAAATGTTTTGTTTTTTGTTTGTTTTTCAATATTTTTTATCATTGAAATAAAGTACGTTAATAAAAATGGCACAGGTTCGGTTTTCATTGAACTTTGAATTTTCGAAAATTTGAAAAGTTTAAAATAATGTCTTCCTACAGCTCTCAAATGGATACAGAGATTTTTTCTTAATGAAAATTGCTCTTTAAAATTACATTTTTAAATGAGGTCATGTTCATTTTTTTCAAATTGGGAGTTCAGTGAATCCTATATTATGCGATTACTGTTGGTTCCGTGAAGGAGACGTCGCTTAACTTGGGAATCTTACTTTTTTACCAAAACTGGTATATTACTAGAACTATTTGAGTTCGATGTACTATCTGAATTGGTCAAAGTTACTTCTGTAGCATATGCATAAATTCATTTAACAAAGAAGTGACTACTTTGACAGCTATTGCTTCGCCACTGCTGGCAACATAACTGCAGGTTATTTCCGTGCCCTAATTTTGTCGGTGCGTTCGTTTATATCACGTCATTGTCTATCATTTACATTCACATCATGCTCTGCATGACGTTCATTTGTTTCCCTATCTGTCAAAGTGGTCCTTAGTGTAGTAATTCGTCTACATATAAAATTTGTAATATTATTTTTTATGTAAAACTTGTATTTGTTTCACGTAAAATCTCTGAATTGGCCAGCAAATGGCGTATCAAATTCAACCCTACCAAACTTCACTCGTCGACTAACCTGGAAACCGCATATCCTCCATAGACTTGTCCTAGCCACACAAAGAACTCATCAGCTCTTCCCAATATTACGTCGATCTCCCCGCCAAATTCAAACCGGTACCCATCTTTACAAAGCTATGATCAGACCAATTCTAACATATGCAAGTCCTATTTAGGGCTCAGCATCCAAATCTCACATCCTTGGAATCAAGACGTTTCGAAATCGTTTCCTAAGGACCATAAGCCAAAGTACCTTGGTTCATACCCAATGCTCTCCTCCAACACGAGTTCAGCATACCCCCATTATTATACGCGCACGTTTACTTGAGCCCCGGAATACCTACCCCTACTCGTTTACCAACATTAGTTGAATTCAGAATAAATGATAGCAACGAACGTTGTAGACAAAATCTTATAACCAGAATGTTCGCTCCCGTGTAATAGAAACTATTTTGCATCCAAAAAGGAACGACAAATTTGTTGCAAAACTCCTTTCGTCAAAATAACTCAACTCCCCACTCCTCTCGCAAATAGCGAAGCGAGGGCTCAAGAAAATTTGCGCTGATTATACCACAAACATTAAACAATCCGCTCTTACGTTTTACCACAAAATTCCTTCAATCCCACAAGCGTTCCACTTCCAATTAGGGAAACAAAGACCAAACAGAGCACGCATCCGCAGGAAACTACCTAGACAATTTTTGACCCACTCTACCTCCTCTCCCAGGTAACTCCTCGAAATAATTCTAAAGCAATAATGGATTCAAAATTTAACTCAACTTATTAATTCTGTATCAAATGTATTCAAACATGATTCACAAGAGGTTGTACACCTGAAAACAATTTTGTTTTTAATTAACAAAATTGTTTAATAAGAAATTACTAATAGAAAAAGCAACAAAATATTGCCCAAAAGCATTTCACAGAACTGATTCTGCTACTGCTGCTCGAAAATCATATTAAAATGCATTCATATGGGCATAATGTCCCTCTTTTAAAGTAAAATTTTCAGTTCGCTCGTACATAAACTAGAAGTTTATAGCGCAGAGGAAATAATATTTCCTTGCATTTCCGGAAATTTCCTTGCATTTCCTCTACTTTCAACGCGATTTCATAGTTCATCATTTAAGTTGTAGGCATTGTCTGATAAACTTCCTATGCACTCTATCGGTCATATTTGGAACTAAATGTAGTGGATAATTCGAAACTTGTTTTTATTTCCAGGGAACATATTTATAGAATTAAATTACAATTTGTATTACAGAATCCATACTTGTAAATAATTGTATTTCCATACACGTTTCATTAGTAACCGTTTCTTACATACTCGAAGATGGTCGCGAACTTTCTGCGCTTATGACGTACCAAGAAAATCAATGTGAGTGAGAAGTGACACTCCTTGGCATAGATATTTTCCTTGCAGATTCCTAGTTACATAAATGTGTCAGCACTTCCCTTCTAACTAATCCAATTCCATATATCGTGAAGATGTGTTTACCTTTTATCAAGATATAAGTCATATCATACTTTCTGTCTATCAAGAGGTAACTATTGCCAAAGTGCAAAAATACCCCCATATTATGATTAAAATGAGTGAAAACGTCATTTAATTGTTATATTCTGTTGTAGGTTGTCGGTGTTGTTACGTATGTAGAGCAAAAACCTCGATGTTTTCTAATTTATCATGAAATGGAAATATAGCCTATATGATCTACTAGAGAGCAGTTTGTTCATTAGCATGTACTTATTTGTAAATCATGTGTGGATTTGTAAGGTCAACTGAAGAGGAACTTATTCTAATTTCCTATAAGAATTCATTAGCAAATGAATGTTGTAAGTACTTTTGCCAAAGGTGAATACATTTTGTCATAAAACTAATTTCCAAGATCAATATCAACAGTGTTGTGTAATGTCAGAAGAATTAATAAAGCAATTTATGATTATCATTTTCAGATGTGTGTAAATAGAAGTTGTAGAATAGTGCAAGTCAGTTCTTCAGAAATGAGGTCAGTACTTAACAAATGTTGCTTTACTAATAAAACTAAATTTGTAACCATCATATAACAAGAATGATTATTTTAAGTGTTATTTTTCCATGTATTCCTCCTTTTATTATTAATTCTCACTGGAATGTTTTCATCATTTCAATAGTTCTTGTTAACCTTAATTCTCAAACAAGGATTTTTTGTATGTAATAAAAATCAAAATTATTTCAGGTTTTATAGTGAAATACATATTTTATGCAAGTATATTTTTAATTACTTTCATAACCAAGTCCAATTTTACACTTCAGAACTTAACTCAAAATTGAAAAATCTCACTACTTAGTAACAATGTCCTTACACAAAATAATATGTTCCATACTTTAATTGAAACAATCATAATAGAAAGAGCATCTCAGAATTCTTAGAAACTATTTTTTCTATATGTAACTCAATGTTTTAGAGTTTTGTTTAGAAAAGATTTGCTGATACTTTAATATCTTTCAATAAAAATTGAAATTGCTCAAACACTTGAAATAATGTTTAGTATTTTATGATGAAAAAATATTAACAATTGAATTAAAAATAATATACTTGTGACATCAGTTCACAGAATAATTATAATCATATTACAGTTGTGAAGGAAACAGGGTTAAAACAGTATTAGATAATTGTGTATTCCGTCAGAAATCTTCTCAGAAGTGTTGGCTGTGAGTTTTGAATTTTTACACATTTCATTTGTTTGAAAATGAATCTTATAATTTTGTGTAAGTATCAATAGAAACAATTTAATTTGTAATATTTGGTATGTGATTTTGAGAGTTCTTAATAACTTTTTTCCTTCAAAGTTGTGATTATTATGGATCCATTTATGCTGGAAGTCAGAAATGTATCACTGTTTTTATTGAATCTAAAGAAATATCCTAAGGAGTAAAGATGTCTAATGTCATTTTATGAAAATAATTTTTTCGTTTTGTTCAATGGAAGAAGTTATGCTTTAATTAACCAGATTACAACTTTCAAAATTCCCTAACATTAGAACAATAACAATAATTCAGCAAAGAATACACATTTTAAAACCTTCACTATCAATAGTAAATAATTAATATTAACATTTTGTGAAAAACTTTAGCTATTTATTGCTTAGAATAATTTTGTGATATTGTATAGTGCTTGTTTAAAAAGAATAATTCAATGTGTGTTTATTTCTTTTTCAGTTGAGACAAACTGGCTGGAATATTTGACAGAGAGCTCTCCTAAGACCTCCCAGAGCTTCAACATGGATGATCATCAGGATTCTGGTGATACAATAAAAGAAAGTTTAAAAATATATGAGCAATTGCAAGATGCCCCTCTCCCATCTGGAAGTCCTGAGGTGTTACATCTGGATCCAAATGTGTCTGCTAAAGAAAATTCCCTTAAAGTAGAAAAAGGCGATTCCATACAGTGTGGTTCTATGGTGCGTCCATATGCCTCATCCGAGTCCTCAGATTCTGAAGTTCCTGGTCTTGGTGAAGTGAAAGATATATTTGATGCCTTGTCAGTGAGCGATGATGAGGCTATTGGATGCCCTTTACCAAGTACTCCAGAAGACGAAAGTGCCTTTGTATCAGAAATCACAGAAACTCTTAAAGCAGGAGTGTTGGCAGATGAAATAGATTTAACCTCTCTAGCCCAGAATCCAACACAAGAGACTGAAAAGTTTGTTCTGAAAGTTTGTGATTCATGGAGATTGTGTTGCTACAATAGCTTGCCTGCATGGATGCAAGACAATGATTTTGTGATTGGTGGATACAGACCACCTACGCCAAGCTTTTATGCTTGCTTCAAAAGCATATTTAAGTTGCACACTGAGACAGCCAACATCTGGACTCATTTATTAGCATGTATTGCCTTTATTGCTATGGCAATACATTTTTTGAGTCAAACATCAGAAGTATTGGAGCTGCCAGAAAAGGTGGTTTTTTCCACTTTTTTCCTGGGTGCAATTCTTTGCTTTGGTTTGTCTTCTGCATACCACATCCTGCATTGCCATTCTGAATGTATTGGGAGACTATTCAGCAAACTAGATTACTGCGGAATAGCTTTGCTGATTATAGGATCATTTGTACCATGGTTGTACTATAGTTTTTATTGTCAATTTCATCTCACAGTGATCTACTTGAGTATTGTGGTAATTTTTGGAATTACATCAATTGTAGTATCCCTGTGGGAAAAGTTCAGTGAGCCAAGATTCAGACCCTTACGAGCTGGATTGTTTTTAGCTTTTGGGTTAAGTGGTCTGATACCAGCGGTGCATTATGCCATAAAAGAAGGGTGGATGAATGCTGTTTCACATGCCTCTTTGCATTGGCTATTCATCATGGGAGGGTTATACGTTGTCGGTGCCCTGATTTACGCATGGCGTGTACCTGAACGATTTTTTCCGGGAATGTGTGATATATGGTTTCAAAGCCACCAGATATTTCATGTGTTTGTCATTGCAGGTGCAATTGTTCACTACCATGGAATTTCTGAAATGGCAATGTACAGATTGACGTATATTGATTGTGGAAATCCAATTTACGCATAACTTGAAAATATTTAAAGGATTTATGTAAGGGTAGACATATTTAGTGTCTGCATTAGAAAATTCTAAGTTAAAGCATGAAGACACTAATTGTTTCCTGTTGTGTCGATTGTTGTATAAATTTTAATTCTATATTGACCAAAGAAATTTGTTGATGTTAAAAGATGACTAAAATTAATGAAATTATTTCCAGAAAATTTCAACTAATATCCATTTAACAATAACTTAGTAAGCTATATATTCTTGGATTTCTTTTTCATTGTGTGGAAAAAATAATTCAAATGAAATAAAATAAAATTGTATTATTTTTTAATAGACATTAGTAATTATAAGTCAAGAGAGCTCTCTTGGAGGGCATTTACTTGTGGTGCTAAATGAAATACATTGGTATCTGATACTGAATTTGCCATCCATGAATGAAAAGTTCAAGTTGCTTATGACAATTCATATATTTTACTTATTTTAAATCATATCCTTATTATTTGTGTATCTATGTGATAGATTCTAACATCAAAATACTTTATTGATACAGATTTTGTAGAGAATGTTGTGCCTTCTTCATCTAAACAATATCAATTTGTTTCAATCCATTTGTTTTAATAGAGGCTATAATATTTTATGTCAATGTTCCCTGGATAAGCAATAAATTGTTGTGTCTAACTGAAATATTAATTTTCTTCTTTTATAAAAAAATAAAATTGCTCTTGTCTCAGAACATAGTGATAAGGGTTGAAAGAAAATTAAAATTTAGAAGTGGTAGGATAGGTTATTTTGTATTTTGTTTTGAAGATTGTTCATGAACATTTCTGTAACCTCTCTTTTCATGTAGCAAGTAGTTTGAAATGTTTTCAGATTCATTGAGCTGATAAGTTTTAATTTGAAAAGGATATTCAGGTCAATTTCTCAATTTAACCAAGAGAAGTTGACCTGGCTAGCAAAGTCTGATGAGGTTGTACCATCATAACTTTCTCTGTCAAATGAGTTGTGGGTTTGAACCCAGCTTTAGGCATGGGTATTTGATGTGTCAATGGCAGGGCTCTTCCAAACCCCATGCATCGTTATTTCAACTGTTTTCCTTCTATTCCTAGAGTTTTTACCCTCCTTGATAATCAGTCTATATACTGCTGAGATGAGTCTCTGGAGGACTTCTTACAGTCCAAGTGAGAGAGGCCCATTCTTCCTTGCCATGATATGCACATACTCAGTGTAATGAACTAAGTGCGGCCTCTACCGCAAAACATTTATCCAAGCCCCCTTTATAAAAGTGTAAAGCTAACACAAGTAGTGATACTACCTTCAATAATACAAATATCCTCTAAATACAGGCCCTCTTTTACTCGGGCTGACCTGCATTGCAGACGTTGCGAGCCCAAATGTTACGCCACTGCACATACTGTCTCTGTGCCTTGGTTCAAAGGGACACAGGTCAAATTTCACTTTGCACACTCTTTTGTGAATTTTGTGTCTTTTGTGAATTTTGAGGGTCTGATAAGCCCAATTCCAAGGAAGGTTTACCTCTGCATTGTTTGAAGTAGGTTTGTGTTTAATTTGGTAAAAAGGTTAAAAACGTCAGCTGGAAAAAAACATTTATGTTAACAAGGAAAAGAGAAAAGAAAAAAAAAATAGCTTTGTAGGCATGCAATGGAATTTGTCTGGTTAATTATGGCACAGCCAAATTAGGTAGCTTACGTTGAAGAAGTTACTTCTCATCAAAATTTATAAGACACATACATATTTACTAGAGGGGTGTCCAATATTTAGCAAATCATGATCTTCATCACAGGTAACAACTCATTGATGTGACTTAACCCTTGTTTTTGAATACATTTAAAAAATCAACATTAAAATTTACTTAATGTTGGCCTAGTAAGGCAAAACCATTAAGTATTTTAGGGGAGGGGACAATTTCGTTTTGGAACCCATTCAGCTCGATTATTATTTTTGAAATAATTATTGAGATAAATTGAAATAATGTAATAATCTGAGGTAATTATTAAAAAAATACTTTATAATTATTAGCTTGAAGTAAAAAAAGGTATGATAAAACATGATATAATGAAATATTCCTTTAGACGATACGCAATTAATACGGTAACTGTAAATTGAGTAAAATTACCAAAGAATGTTGGCTTGGAGTAAGGTTAAGGTTGTGGTTGTTGTTTGCCAATGCCCACCTTTGGCATTGGCTTGAGGTAAGGGGCATTGCCCCCATTCCTTCCCATGGATCCACCATTGCTATATGTAAACAAACAAGTTTTGAATTATACAGAGAAAGATGAAATGAGCCTTCTGATAAAGAACATTGTATGTGTCAATTGGATGAACTAGATCACAGAAAATATATTAGTTACTTGTAGCTTAATGTAATTATTTCTCCCTCTAGCAATTAGATCACAAAGAAAGTACTTTAGGTACTCCTAGCTCAATGCAATTATTTCTGCCTCTTTAGCTATTAGTTATCTAAATGATTAGTCTAAGTAATATTAGCTGTTCATATAAGAGTGGAGAAATAATTTTATTCATTTCTGAAAGAATCAGGTACATTAAACAATTTCTCCAAAAAAATGTAGATACTTTGTGGTACTGGTTGGACTGCAGGCTGTCAAAAATCTCCTCCTCTTGTATCTACTAGATTTTTCAGGTTGTATAATACGTATTTAGAGGAAGACAAAGGATTCCATCTAGTCTGGCTACCCTTTGGAAAGATGGTTAATGATTAATAATAGGTGATTTGATTATGACTTGCTCAAAGAGTTTGATAATATACAGGAGGAAGAGAAGGAGATAAATATATTTGAATATTATTGTCATGACATATTTTATATTTTAAAATACTGTACATATAAATTGTATAATTTATCATACTTTCACACATTCACCCATATTTCTTCAGCACAATTATAAGTGTTCTATCATTGCATTAAAATATGTTGCATATGTTGCTGTAAAATTCTGCATTTAGATTGTGCAAAATAAAGGGATTTTCTTGAAATTAAGAAAATCATTGCCATATCTCTAAAAAAACCAATTTCCCTCACTGAATTTTTTTTCTTCTTATATTGGATTGTAATGAATTAGATAGCTCAAAAACGTTAACTTGAACAATGATGTATTTACACAGTATTTATGAGAGCATTAATTATTTTAATATGGAAAGAACTAATAGAAAGGAATAATTAAAAATGAATACTCTGATTAAAATAGTGTGGCCATTCAAGGTATCCAACTTCAGCCAATGAGCTTCAGGCACAAGTTGCGTCACAATATTTGCGGGAATTTTCAATGCAGCCAGTTACTAAATCTTGTGACAAGTCATCGAAACAAATACATGAAACTTTTTTTAAATATTGCATATTTTATTTCGATTACACCTTCATCAATTCTTGTTTGATCCTCGTTGAAAATT